GTGTGCAGTAAATGTCATTAAATATCAGTTTTAAGTATTGATTACATGTAAACGCTGTTAATTTTTTTTAAGCAGCTATCTCTTCTGACCATGATTTGATTGACATAATTGTGCATTGCTATGTAAGATGCCAAGATTTTTCTGTGGAGAAGATGGTAACAGTAGTTAGAACAGCACCCTTACCTTTTTAATGCGAGGTAAGTTTGATGATACTGAGAAGTCTGGCTGCTAATGCCTTGTTTATGTGCATGTTTATCACTCTGACAAGGGTTAAAACATGCTAATTTCGCTGTATGCACAAGTTCAGCTACAGCCCAGATGATAGTTAAGATCTGTTAACATGATTAAGGTCCTTTTTAGATTATGGGGTAATAGTCCTACCCAAGTGCCAGATTGAGTTTTTGCCTCATACACTTACAGTTAGAGTATGGCGGTGTAGGGATGGTCAGTATGACTATATTTAATGTTGTTGTGATATATCACTCCACAATCTGCTTTTCTGAGCATCTCCTCTGTAATTAACCACATAGACCCAACCAAAAAACATCTGCCTTGTGCACCTATTTGGAACAGCCAAATCATTTTAGCAATTTCAACGTGTAGAATTGAAGCTTTGTGCTTTATATCATGTTCAGAAACTGCCATTCTGAATGGTTTGTTCAGAATGGTAGTTTGTGTGGATAAAACTGGACAAAAATCCCAATATGCGGTTTACTCATCAAAAATAAACAGCAGCACTGAGAAATTGCGTATCATTAACTGATAAGGGCAGACGAATTGCAGAAATAGACTTTTTTGAGTGAAAGAACACTGACCAACTGCATATTTCATTGCAAAGAGAACTTAATCAGTTTGTTTTTGAATTTGGTGCAGTGCAGCATGCGAATTGCTGAATAAGTCATTGTACTCCTACCCTCTTAAAGATGGTTCTTTAGTAAAGAAAATAGTTCTGTGTGGAACCATGAACACTCACGATCGCATATCATGATTGATGGAGAATATGCTGTAAATAGTTCTACTATTGTTATTGTGTCAAACTTGTAACAGTAGAAGAACCTTTTTGGCTGCTATATCAAAACCTCTTCAATTGGGTTCTGTGTAGAATCATCTATAGCACATTAATGCACAGTTTCCATCCCATCCAAGAACCCTTTCATGACGCAAAGAAGCCTTTAATCAAGCAAAGGGTTCTTTGAGTGTTCATGGTCCCACATAGAACTGTTTTCTTTACTAAAGAATTGTTGAAGCACCATCTTTTTTCAAGAGTGTAGTTTTTTAAGTATTTCTTTTAACTGGTGCTCTACTGGTTCTTTTCTGTCTGGTAAACTCAACTAAATATTGTGACTGTGAAAGTCTTGAAGTTTCAGAGTATCACTACTGTGGGGCTGTGTGCTGTACAAGCTGCAAGGTTCTAACACTGTTGCCTCCATGAAAGCAAGCAGCGCCAAAATTAAACCAGGCCAAACTGGCCAGGGGTGAAATGCTGACTGTCACTTTTCCTGCTGAACAAAGGCTAAAAGGACTGCTAACAATGGAAAGGTGAACAAACCCGCTCAAAGGCTGCCTGTTTTTCCGCTCACTCCATGCATTCATTATAAACATAAGGAGCTTTGATTGTTGTCGGTCTTATGAATGGATGGCCTAGCGGCTTGTGCATGAGGGCAGATCAAATTTCAGACCGAGTAAGGGAAATAGCATTGTGTTCAAACATCCGTGGTACAATCAACGAACTGGATTCAGCACAGCACCCGACCTCCTGGATACAATATAAAAAAAAAATAAAAATCAAGGTGTCTTTGCTCCCTCGCACTTTGAGTTGCCAAGTACGACTGCCAAAAATATCATTTGCCAAGAGAGGGCCGAGCTTGTTTTGTGCTTTCTAAAGCGGTGTGTGGGGTATCTGGGGGTGGTGGGGGTAGGTTGGCTCACTTCTGTAACAAAATCCCATCCTGGCCTGACGTTTGAAGTCCCTAGAAGGGCTTGTCTTTGATCATTTGTGCTCCTAATGACTGCCTTTCAGCAGATCAAACACTGAACGCATCTCAACTGACACTGATAGGGATCTTTTATGGCTCCCACTGTTCCTAGCGTAGGTTACTGTATAACGTTTGGCGGAGAAGAAACGCGCCCTTCCCCCATCCCTCCTGTCTGTTCACAAAACATGGAGACGTGTGAAATTCAACAAGTGTTGTGAAGAGAGAGTTTCCACAATGACTCGAAGCTCCCTCTCTTCTTCAGTTTACGTTTTTGCTTGTGGGAGGTCTCTAGACATCTTCAAAGGCACCTTTAGAGCTTCTTGAAAAAATTTGAAAGCTACGCTTGTGAAAAATAAAGGTACTATGCCAGTGTCAAAAACCACCCTACATTTATTTCATTTTCAGCAAAGTAAAAGATTGTTTTCAGGAGATATTTCCGAGGAGATTAGATCATATAAATAAGATGATGATGATATTATTATTATTATTATTATTATTATTATTATTATTAAGATAAACAGCACTTAAAGCTTTCATCTTTGAGAGAGAGGAGAAAATCAAGCTGCTTCAGATCTGAAAACATCCACAGGTGTTTCTGTCCATCCTTCCACTGTGAGAAGACAACTCAGTGCTATGGGTCTGAAAGGATGTGTAGCTGTCAAGAAGAACCTCACTGAGAAAAGGAGACAAACGCATCACTGTACAAAAGTCTTGGGTGCCTAAGTATTTTTTTAGAACCATTTATGTGAAAATCATGTGTGTATGCTTGTAAAGTCACCAAATAACAGAAGAAGAAGAAATATAAAAACATAAATACAGTAAAATACAACAAGAATTTTCTGCAGTGGAGTCCAGACCTCAACATCACCGAATGTGTTTGATTACTTCAGAAAATGATCAACCAACTTCTAAGACTGAACAAAGGAAGCTGTAATAAAGGTGAAGTGCGGAGTCACTAAATACTGGACAAGATATCGTATTGAGTTGTTGAGGCTTATGTTTAATGTCCTTTTAAATGTCTTCTGCTTTTTTGGTCACTTTTGGTCATTTTGACTGTACATTAAATAAATGAAGGCTGACTGTTGCAAGTGGTTCTTGGCTCGGATCCTTGGCTTTACATTATATGGAGATTCTTCAAACTTCCCATTTGCATCATGTTTGCAAAAATAGGGCATCCATTTTAATGTTGCTGCAGGCAAGCCATGTTTATTTATATAGCACATTTCATAAACAAATAAATACAGCATACAGAATATAAGGAGTTTAAAGGCAGTGCTTAAATGTCACCAAAGTGAAATTAAAAACTTAATAAAATAACATTAAAGCAAAAAGTAGTGTTACTCAAGTCTTTTCCAGCACCATGACTGAGAAAGATCACAGATGTTTGTGGTAGGCCAAAAACAAAACAACATACAAATCAAAAAGGCCCACACCTAAAACAGATGGTTCTTCAAGGGTTCTTTAGTAAAGAAAATGGTTTTATATAGAACACTCAAGAACCATTTTCATGATTAAGGGTTTGTTGCATGGTGAAAGGTTCTTCAGATTGATGGAGAATGTGTTTTGTATGGTTCTATATAGAATCTTTTTGAAAAGCGTTCTATATAGCATAATATTTGGTTCTCTCATTGACGGTTAGGGTAACTTTCTGATGGTCAAGAACAAACTTTGGGCAGTCCCGGTATTAATTAATCCTTTGGATTCAAGGAGCCAAAAGTGGTTATTCAGTGGCATCGTACCAAAGAACCCTTTTGTGTAACCTTCCTTTTTAAGAGTGCATGTGAATTTCCCTCCTTTCTAGTCTGGCACTTATCTCACCAGAACCGTAAACTGTAATCCAGTAGTAACGGATCACTCGCCAGTAACTCACAATGGCTTTGGACCCTGCCCTGTTCCCCACCTCCTATTGAGCCGCTCCTCTCGAGACAGATGCAGATAAGCTATCATGTGTCGGGGTGTCTGTGCGTTCGACTAATGCCTTGCTCCAGACGAGCTCGCCGTCTTTTCTATTACCGACTCCCGACTCCTGCCAAAAACAATGATGTCATCCCTGTTGCCATGGAGCACGGACAGACGAGCCGAAACATGCCAGTCAGGAAAATAGGCCGCTTGTTTTGGGAGGTTCCTTGCGATGCGCCTTGTCTGCGGGGGTAGCGGTGCTGATTTACACGCTGGTTCACTTTGATAGTTCTGTTGAAGTCATGAGTGTTTTGTGTCTCTCATTATGCGTGAAAGTTTCTCATTATACACGACTCGAAGAGCTGCATAAATCAGGACAGTTGACTCTTCTTGTAAGGAGTCAAAAGGAACATTATCCAAGATCTTTTCTGCCAGTAGTTGCTCAGAGTGGGACTGTTGCACTTGGATTTAGCTCAGTGAATCTTATGAAAACCCGATTTTGGGTCGAGCTAACCTCATCCCAAGTGGAAAGTCCCAGTTGCTAGACACTGCCAGTTGTAATTTTCCTCCCTTCCTCCCACACACTGTGCACTGTAAAGACACCACACTGTATCTCATGGAAGGGCTGTGAAACATTAAAGGGCCCATATCCTACAATTTTCCCTGCATTTAATTGTTTGGTGCCACTTTAAAATAAGACTACCTTTTATAAAGCGTTCATAAATGGTTTAAAATGAGTTAATTAATGGCCATTTAAGGGGTTAACTTATGCTACATAATATTTTGTTGTGTTAAGGAACCTATTAAAGTGATTCAACAGTTACAAATAATAGAAATTCTTGGGTGCACTGCAGTAATGAGAATTGGGGTAAAATATGCCAAGAAACTTGAAAATGGAGAAGTGAATGATGAATGATTGCTATACCATAGAGCTTCAGTTGATCTACCAAATTATATGAATATATCTGTATGATTGATCCTCAGATATTTAAGAAAATAATTTGAGACTTTTCAGTGAGAATGACGCATATTTTTTTTTTTTTCAAACCTGAGATCCAGGTTTGTTTGGCTTTGCTAAACAGCTGTTTTAATAGTAGGCGTCTCTCATATTCTGTGTTTGTCCAGGCGAGGCTGCGCTGAGAGGTGAACCCAGAATGCAGCCCATGTCCCTGCCGTCTGCAGTCAGCAACCACAGGACGGGGCCTCCTCCCATCAGCCCCAGCAAGAGGAAACACAGCGGGGACCAAGCCGACGACGACCTCGACTGTAGTAACGAGCATGTGGCCAAGATGAGCCGGCTGTTTGCTGCACAGTTGTAAGTAGAACCGCTGATCATCAGCTGTCATTTTTCTGGATGCTTTTGACACACTGACATTCACAGCTTGTGCCCCACCAAACTGCCTCTTCCAGGAATAAACACCTTTTTAAAGCTGTAGTGTGTGCGCTGCCCAACTATGTGGGTAATTTATCACAATATCATAAATATTGTCTGTACTTAGATTGAGCCTGCAGGCCAAAGTAACCCCACCCCCACACCTTAACAAAATAAAACAATGCCTCAAAAAAATGTATTCAAAACACACCACAAACATTTTACTTAACCCTCCAAGACAAAATGTTTGGGCACCCCTGATCTAGAATGATCTAGAATACAGAAAGCCTGTAAGCAACGCCTATTGTACATTAGATGTGGGCAATATGCTGATATTTATCAATATCTTGATAAATTGCATCACATTTTTTCATAGCCATTTCAACTTGTATGCGAACCTAAAAACTAAATATTGTGATGCCATAACGCCCACTCTCATCAGCCACAATGCCCTCTCAATTCAGCCTTTTATATTGGATGAATTTTCTGCAAGGTTGCAGCTCGTTTCAGTGAACGAGGGGCCATGCAGGTAACTTTCCCTTTTGGAAAAAAAAAAACAGAAAAAAGAAAAAGAAAAACAGCTTGGGAACAGGCTGAAGGTTGGCATGACTGCTGAGGCTTTAGGATTCCTCACATTCCAGGCCTGTGAGCAGAGCACATGGCCCGTTTGTGGTGCCTTGTCCATGCTGTCATGGCGGAGCCCATGCAGGCACCCACACATTCCTCACATTCCTGCCCAGCTTTGGAACAGCGACGTCCAGTCATGAGACACAAGACATGGCTGTTTAGCGTCGAATAACGCACCCGGGTGCGAGGCAGAGAGGCAGAGTCCAGTTCACGGCCTGAGAATGTGCGCGACAAATTAGGACCTGAGTGCGAGAAGGAGAAGGAACAACGGCGGCACTCAAAGCCCGAGCCTCGAGGGTCTCGCGGGCCAAGGATTCTCAGCATGGCAAAGCATTTCTGCACATGCTTTCTGACTGAGGCACAGGTGATATTGATAAACGCTCTTTTCTAAATAGGACACAGTGTCAGATTATACATTTTATATATATATATATATATATATATATATATATATATATATATATATATATATATATATATATATATATATATAAAATGTTGGAGAGGGGAAAAAACAAAATTTTAAATGTGCTGTAACTTTTGCACAGGTCATACTTTATTTTATGTTTAATTTTTTCCAATATGTTGAATTTAGCAAATAAACAGTAACTGTGTATTATTATATGGAGAAGTGTGTCCTCTGTAGAGGGTGTGTTCACTTATTTTCACAAAAACATCATTTGTCCAGGGGCGCCCAAACTTTTGTGTACTACTGTATGTGTTAGCAATAAAGGCCCATATCCTAAGTTGTTTTTTTTTTTGTTTTTTTTCTGATGTGGTTTTATATACCAAAAAACAGTCAGAAGTCATTTTTGCATGACCATTTTGTAGCCTCTTTTTATCCATTAGAATTCAACAGGCTGTTTCTTTGTTATTGTGCCTTTAAGACTAATATATGTAAATGAGCTCTGCTTTGAATGGTTGTCCTATTGTACCTCATTCAAAAAGCAGCCTATATAAGTGTGAGTGGGCGGGGCTAAGCAAACTTCCAGTTCATAGTTCTTTAGTTTTGTTTTGACTTTTTTATTATGCTGGTAGCTGCTGGCTAACTAACATTTCTGTTTAGGTTATTTTGACTACCTGTTTACGTTACAGCCATGTGTGTCATCGGTTGCTAACAGACTTAACAATTGATTATCAACCTTGATCAAGTAGTTTTAAGGTTTCCTCATGTGAGATGAGATGCTGTAAGGTTAAATGTGATTCCTTTAGTAAGACAGGATTTGCTTTTTTATTTTGAATTCTGAATCTTAGTTTAGACTAAATATGGGGGTTTTTTGTTATGTGGAAATTTAAATGACCTGCTCTTTATTGAGATCTGTCCTCCGTCTTCAGCACTTCACAGCATGATACCACATGTTGCCACTGCTGAATACCGAGGCTCAGAACTGATACCAAGACTGAAAGCCTGCTCTTTGAGATGCTACACGAGAGTGGGCCTCAGGACAAAAGATGGTTTCATAACATTCTGTTGAATGTTTCACCAGTTTGCGCTGCATTAGAGCTCTCAGACATGCACAGCCTAGCCTTGTCATTATTGTCAAGCCTCCATCACGTCCACTGCGGTTTCCCTCTCACTCGCCTCCCCTATCATCCCATCATAACATGATAATATGATCTGCGGGCTGAAATCCCACCAGTATAAATGAATGCTCCAGGCCCTACTTTGTGATTTGGGCCCTGCGGTTTCATTCTGCATTCGATTATAGCCGGCATAAAATTGTTGACGTGCACTTCAAGTTGGTTTGAAACATGGTAGCGTTATTGTGTAACGCCCAATGCCCACACTTGTAACGTGCTGCGAACCTCAGCTGAACCCTCCCCACGCAGACCACCCTTATGAATAAATATCATTTGCTGCCATTTGAAATGTTCAAAAGCAAATTGTTTACAAGGTGATGTTCAAATTGTTTCTGTCTTTAGACTTCAGGCATAGGCTTTGTAAAGAGTTTGTTAATGTTAGCTAACTGGGTAGCTAATGCTATCAGTATTGGTGTTAGAGCTCTGTGTAAATATTGTGTATCTAGTTTTTCTGCTAGATAGCCACACATCATCTGCTCCTGTGTTTTTGATATCTGGAACACTAGTGCAAAGCAGAAATGCTCACCATAGAACCCTAAACATCCTGTTAAAGTAACTCGCATTGAAAGTTAAAGATATTTTTTCTTTCTTTCTTAGTAAAGTTACTGTTGGATTTTGTTCCAACAGTGACAATATAAGTCTCTATATATAGCACACTTCCCATTGCTCCAGAACAGTCCACTATAGTATTTTTAATTCAGTTTCACATTTGATCTACTGGCACACGTTTTGACAAATGATATAAATGCTGCTTCAATTCTGTGTAAATGTTTGGCTGAGGAAAACTGTGGACTTCAGTGCCAGAGTTGTAACTCTCGCAGGCCTTTTCTCTTTTTTTATGGGCAGTATGTAGCTGACACCTGACACCATGGGCTGAGGCAAGAGTGAAGGCAGCTCAGGTTTCTATTATTGTGCTCTACTAGGAAGGGCAAGCCCTGCAGCTGAGCAGAATGGATAAGTGGGGGTTGGGGGGGAAAATGACTCTCTCTTTCTCTCACTACTTCAAGCTTTTGTCCCTCGGATACTCTCCGCACTGCAGCCGAGTCCAATACGTCCTTTGAAGCACATACTATTTTTGGACCAGCATTGTTTTGAGGTGTTCTGAAAAGTCATATAGTTGATTTGTTTTTTTTCCCCATATTACTGTTTTAATTATGCAACTGTTTGTTTTATCATTAGGTTTTTGCTTCTTTCCTCTGCAATAGACAGTTTTAAACGTTAAGCAATCACATTAAATGAAACTGAAATCCAAAAACAAGAAAATATACCCTGCAGATTGTAATGAAAGTCGAAGTGGAGGGAGACACACTGTTGTCGAGAGTGGGCTTGGAGTGAGGCGGGGGCCATTTTCTCATTTTCACTGCCGAGTTGAAAACAAAGGCCCCCTTATCCTGTCAGCCCACTGTGTTCTGGAAGCCTGCTCTGGCCTGTCCCTCTGGAGACGCCCCCGCCGCCATAAAAGTCCTGCAACTCCTGCGCAGTGCCCTGCAGGCTCCTACACCTTAATAAGAACTTTTTCCCCTAATACAATACAAGTCTACTGTAGTCATAACCTCCATTAGGGGTTTATATCCTTCATATGGTTTAATATAAGGATGCACTAAACCAGCCTTTTCTCTTCTGATACTGATATCTAACCTCATACAGAGTACAGTGATTCCAGAGTGCTGTTAAAGGGGAATTCCAGTGATTGACCACATAATCTGCATTATTAAATGGTTAAGGTCTAAACAAAGTCAATTCAAACTGGTGAAATGCTCTGTTTGCGTGAAACTAGTTAGAGTTGTTCACGGTGGTGGTGACAGAAACCAGAGACCGTTTCTGCGCAAAATCATTATGGATACGCTGCCTAATATATGAGAGGTTATTTTGTGATCTTAATTTGGGCCTAAAACCTATTGTTAAAACATATTATTGGTGGCAAAGAACATGAAGGGTGCTGTAAGGCAAAATAGTTCTCCAGTAGTCAGATTTACCACTGTTTTAACATCAACATTCCAATAACAATTTGTTTTTAAATTCATTCCTGTTGGAGGAACACGTGCAGGGAAATAAAATAGTCAAACGGCCAAAGAAAACAGATTTTTATCATCATATGTAGGTTCATTGGTGGTTTTGGATAGTGAATAAAATGGCTAAGTCACTTGTTTAGTATTTGCAGTGTACATAAACAGTTTATAAAATGGCACTGTTACAATTTTCTGTGTTGATACTGATTCAGTATATCACTCGTTAGGAATAACCTTAAAATGAATGCCTTATTAGCACCTAAACTGAACTTAGTCGACGGCCTTGGAATTTTTTGGCCTGTCAAAAAATCTGACGCAGGCATGAAATTTGTGCTCGACCTTACGTTCTCGGGGGTCTCCACTGGGTCCTATTACTGAAAGAACTGGGTAGCAGGGGAGGCCTGTTCTTGTAAAGGGTTCTCCCAGGGCTGGAACAAGCCAGTGCCTGCTGGGAACTTTCAGAGTGAGTATTTCTCATGCCTTCTAGGCCAGCCAAACGGGGAATGGAGAAAAGCCAATGCCAAAGTGGTTTGAGCCTATGAAATCATTTGCTGATGATTTCTGCATGGTGTACCAGCACTGAGCAAATGACTGCAGTTGAAATTAGTGTAGTTTATTTAGAGAAAATGTAAACTTTTAGTGGCTAGCACTTCTTAGAAATATAATAACTTTGATTTCAAATATGTTTAATCTTTTATACTTTTTTGAATCATCAACAAATTCTTA